AGGGGGGGTTATCCAGGAAAATATTAATTACAAAGCTTTAGAAAGATTGCAATCTTTGCAATCTTTTCCTTACAAACATGTACACCGAAATATTTATTTAAATTTCAAATCACTAAAAATCCACCTTAGCCGTTCAAGGCTTTCGTCTCCTAATTGTAAAATGTATTTGTTTCAGATTCCCTATGAACTGAAACACGTGACATACTACATAAGTGAGAATCAACTTTCAAGTATTCGACATAAGATACAAACACGATATACAGAAATTAACAGACATATAGACCATTTTGAGTTTATAAATGTTCCTTAAGTTAATTTGAGTTTTTATACGTTTGTCTGTGATTCGAATCATTTGAAAATAACGTTAAGGACTGCTGTAACTAAATGTTTTAGGTTTAACTTTGAATATTCCATTAAATAAATTTGTCTATTTTTTACTTTTTATGTTAATGTTATACAACGTTCATTACATCTTTACTTGTATCTATATTTTCTGTCTTTAATCTTGCTTCATTTAATTAAGTTTATTAATCACTCTATGTTGTTAATATTATTAACGTTCTTGTATTATAAGCACTTATTGTTGGAATTTCATATTATTAACATTATTGTTTCATTATAGTTCAAAATAAATAGTGTAATTAGTTAACGATTGAAACATTACAAAATTAGGGCCAAAAATATGTATGAGCATAAGGGATGGAATCGCGCCATTTTGCATAAAATGGAATTCCTTGATTAATTCTCTTTTCTTTGTATTGGGAAAAAATTTAATAATTCTTCATGACGCGATTCTTTATTTAATTTCATTTTGATTCCGATGGACAACATTTTAAAACATATACCATTATTTCATGCGCACAAACATATTAATGATTTCTTCATGTTTTAATTGTTAAATAATTACGTATATTTTTCGTATATGAGGTAATAAAATTGAAAAGTTTTCTTTACAAAATGGCATTTGATTCATTTCATTCGTTCCACTTGTTGCGAAACAATAACCATTTAGTTTCAGTTCATTCTCACTGATCACTCTGTAGAAAAATATAATCCATTCTTTTGAAACAGAGCATCAGGAACCTTGATAACAACAGATTAAAATAGAAATTACAAGAAAATCCAATGAATAATACGAATCAGACACCGCAGAGATGCTGTTGCAGCGTCTTTACGATGTCTGATTAGCTATATACAGCAAACATAAAAATTTCATCTTCGAAGCAACGGAAGAAGCAATTAATCGACATTCGAAAAATTAACATAAATGCCCAAAACGGAAAGACCTCCTGGTTTATTGTATTGTACATATGTGCTAAAAATAATTAAATTATCTTTTAGTAGAAATATGTACATATAGATATTATAAAAGAAAAGGGATGAAAAGTTCAGTTGGGAAAAATTCATTTACCATGTATTAATATATATTTCCTATTTTAGCAATAATTATTTTACAAATGTTCTAAAGTGCTCTTACCGATAAAGTGTTCCGAAATAATATCCATACATATATATGTAAACAGACAGTGAGTAAAGATAATTTAAGAATTAATTGCATCATGTACTGTGTGTGTGTTTGTGATAAGTATACCAACTATTATATAGACTCTCAAAGTTTTTAAAAATATTCAATATTTTAGAGTACTTCCGTTTCACTTTCATACAATTTTATTCGATCTCATTTGTTCATGTTTTTTTCATTTTTTATCCGTTAGTATATATTCTCAATTTTACTTTCAAAAAATAAACGGATACCTTTTTAACTTAGATCAGTCT